GCACATTGCAAGGCACCTTTCAGATGTTAAAAAAAAACTGCCCCTTTCACATTGCATACCTCTAAGTCCTGCACACCTGTCTGCAAAATCCTCTAGTTGACCAACCCAGCCTTTAACCAGGACAGGCCGGACGTTAGAAGTGTGACCCCAGAGGCTTCATTTAAACTGTGCCCACACAAAGTGCGCTCTCTCCTCCTCTAGCAGCAGCCGTTGAATTCCTTTTTTATTTTAATTTGTTTTTCCTTTTTTTTGTTTTTCTACTTTTTTAATTGTGTTTTTCAGTGTCACAAAAAATTGTGCAAAATTGAAAAACAAGTATATTTTTCATTTGAAAAATAACTTTGCCGTACTTTGTACCAGAAACATTATTATAGTGTAATTTTAAACAGGACAAATTATACAATAAAATTTAAACTTTTGATTCACAATAAAACTACCTTTTGTAAACTAGCACCGACCAAAATAGAAAACCAACAGACTTTTGTTTTTTGTACATTTTCTGTCTATAAATGAAATAGAAAGTAGGCATGTAAGCCGGCAAAACATTTGTTTCAGTTCATTTCGTTTCAGATTTTTCATTATTTATTTTTCCAGGATTCGGGTCAGAAAGTAAATTGGTTGTGGTATGCATCACAAATGAATGTTTGTTAAAACAAATTGATATCAAATGTTTTTTTTTTTCTTTTTAACTTTCGACAGTCCACTGACGCAATAAAAAAAAAAAAAAACAGCGTGCGCCCCCCCTCCCTCACGCACCATACCAGGCCCTCAACATGGGGAGGGTGCTTTGCCATAATGATGATTGACGTGGATTTACATCGCTGGAGGACGTGATTGACCTGGGGATTACATCGATGGACACTTTTTTGTGTTTTTTTTAATAATAAAATACTTGTTAAAAACCTGTGTTGTGTTTTGTTTTTTTTCTATGAAAGGAGGAACCCAGATTCAGATTAGCCCCCCTGCCCGCAGACCCCCACACCCACTGGGCCAGGGCCAGGGGCCAACATGGGTTGATGAGCTAGAGGATTTCTGCACCCTCCCATGTCGAGGACATGTGGCCTGGTATGGTGCAGGCTGCTGCTCGGATCAAGGGTCTGGTCTGGTATGAGTTGGCGAGGGGACTCCTCGCTGTTTTGTTTTTTTCTTTAACGTTTAACAACATAAATCTACTCTGAATACCATTCGGGAAAAAAATCTGGATACTTTCGGATTTGTGATTTCTTTCATTCAGAAATTTGGATGCTTCCGAAAGTCTGATTATGCAGAAATTTTTAGGAATTTAAATTCGGAATGTAATATATCGCACGTGTCTAATAGAAAGCAAGTTATCACCGAATGGGTAGGCCCATTGTAGAAATGTAGAATTTGCTCTGGTCCATAAAGGACATAAAGATAGAAGAGCTGAAGTGGTTAAAGATCGTTTAGCCCATGTCTTCTAGTACCTTGGAGATTATTGCTATAGTACTATGCACTTTGTATAAAGTATTTTTGCCATTATAAAGATATAAACTAATGCTTTTGTATGACATATTTTTGAATCTAGATTGTTGGCTTTTACTTTGGTGGAAGATATACTTATGTTATATTTGATGAAATGATGGGTTATAGTGCACACTAACATTCATGTTTATAGGAAACGGAATCATTTGTAAGGAGAGCACCAATTTAGCTGCTAACTACCAGTTAGTAAAGTGCAGTATATTAGCTTCACAGTTGGTTAGCCCGACATCATACTTGTGTCCTCCACCCCCACTCAATAGTGGAGCACCCCTGAATCCATGACAAATAAAATGTATACATACCTTTTTTTCCAAATGTCTTCAGCTAATTCCAATGTCACCCTCTTCTTATTCCAATGGTGAGCAAATCCTAAATGCTGTAGTGAGCTGCTCTATC